AATCATCACTCACTTCGAGATCATGAATGTTTGTTACCGGTCCATTTCCGGCATCAAATTCATAGTTAGTGGATTCATCAGAACTGGAAACCCTCTTTCCATCTCAAACCATCGATCGACTTCCATCCCTATTCATTTGGGGAATTTTTATTGACACTTTAAAAAACATCATGTACTCTATATATATTTTCTCTTTTGTATAAGGGAGAAATACATGATAACTATTTTGGAGTATTAATAACGATGTACTCTATTAATATGGTAAGTAGTACATACATTTAAAGTGTTGTTTGTGATCAAATTATTTGTTTGACAACATTCATTCTTCTTCTTTTTTTTTTCTTTTTTTTTTTTTGGTCAAAGGCATTAAATTCTTTTATTTAATGTTCTTACTGAATATGTAAACGTTTGACAACGTTCTTTGAGTCATTCAACAAAATACAAGTCATTAATTACCGTTCATATATAATCCATCTCTTTATTTAAGCTCCTAAATTTCAGTATGTTCCTTTATCCATATATATAATGTATTATGCTTTAACTTGTTTACAGTTACTTTTTCGTCCCCCTCTTTTCTCTAGGCCGCTGGACTGGGGATTATGGGATCGACGCCAAGCTGCAGGAGAGCAATACAACCGGTCAAGACAAGTTAGATTCACTGATTCGTCCTTTAATTACCAGATATCTGCAGTAAAGCAAGTAACGTTCTCAGAAATCAAGGGCAGCTACTTAAACAAACCCAAGATCTTGAGTCCAAATCCTCAACACCTGCCCCACAGCCTCCATGTCCAGGTTTCGACGCCCTACAAACCATTCCGCTTACCACCTACACGTGTGGGTCCCCATGCAGTAACTGCCCAATTACCAAAAAGTAACAACATTTTACGTCCGTCAACTTCACGGACAGAGTCCTTGGCCTATTCGACAACCCTACAAATGGAGGGTATAAATGGAAATACGACTTCATTATGACGGATCTACACCCTGTCATCACCCTAAACGTCGGAAATGGATACTCTTCGGATCCCTTCCTCTTAATCCATAAAGTTCTAGGATCCAGACTATTGAAATTTGATCAAACGGTTAAAGTTATTATAATTTTTAAAATGGGCTCCTGTTTGTAGCCGTTTGATCAAATTTCAATAGTTCGGATCTCCGAACTTAATGGGTTAGAAGGAAGGGATCATGTCCCTTTCCCTAAACGCCGATCAACACCTGGCCGAAGCTCCTGATTTCTGCCAACAACTGTCTCACTCTTGGAGTATCAACCTCCATACAAATGCATTTTATGTAATCCACTTCCAAAATTGATATTTCTACTCCAACATATTAACGCCCGTTACCGACTAACTGACGGTGGGTGAAATCACAGTTGAAACTTTAACCCTATCTAGGGAGCACTCCCCACACTATAAATACACCCTCTCCGGTGGCTGTCCAACTCGTCCCATAACGTATAAGCTCTTTTCTTTCAATCCTCTGTAGTCGAAGCCATGATGCAAGGTGTGCATCCGGGTTACTACTACCAGTTGGTCGACCCGAGCGTGTACTATTCGGGTCTCCTCAGGAGTCCGGTCCAGTACCAGTGCCAGTACCACGACCCCATGATCCCCGTCCAGTACCACGACCCGATGATCGACAATGCCATCTTTGGGTCGGACGAATTCCGGATGTACGCTTACAAGGTGAAGCGTTGCCAACGCATGGGAGCCCACGACTGGACGAACTGCCCGTACGCTCACCGCGGCGAGAAGGCACAGCGCCGTGACCCCCGCAAATTCGCCTACGCAGCGATTATTTGCCCGGCATTTCGCAGCACCGGTTACTGCCGCAAGGGAGACCGTTGCGAATGTGCTCACGGAGTGTTCGAGTATTGGCTCCATCCGGCCAAGTACCGCACGCGTGCATGCGCTAGTCTCGAGAATGGGTACTGCCCGCGCAAAGTGTGCTTCTTCGCTCATACGCCCGATGAGCTCCGCCCGCAACACACGTATTCCGGCCACAAGTACTATGTTGCTTATGATCAGCAAGCAGGTTTTTATCCTCCCTACCACTACTACAAGTACCAGAACAACAGCGACCTGTGCCGTGCGGCCCCAAGGATCCCGAAGGCCAACCGTGGAGGAGGAGGCGTGGCAACGGAAGCACCGTGGACGGCTGAGGAGTATCAGACCATGATGAACAACAGGAAGATCGTGGACGAGTCTTGCTTGAAGGTGGAGGAATTCCTGAACAGTCTGAGGGCGTTGAAGCTGAGTGACTATGAGATGGAGTATGACCAAGGTGAAATCGATGCTGCTTGTGGGATGAAGAGTTATGGTGGTGGGGAGGCGTCGGTGTCGGAGATGCCTCAGTTTGACTGGATTAACAAGCTGCTGCAGTAAATCTCTAAAGCTCACTAGAGCGGGAGAGTCTGAAAATGTGAATCAAGTGTGTAGATTGACGATGAGGAGATATTGGGGTTAATTGGTGTTGAATTATGTGGCGTTCTAGGTTCTACTGTGCAAATTAATGGTTTCCTTTCCTCCATTTAGTTTAATGCTAGCTAGTAATAAGGAGGAATGTAAGATTATGTTGTAATTTTCGTTTTTAATGTCAGTAAATGTACTCCCTACACCAGTCGGTGGTATTTGGAAGAGTGTAACAATATTATGTGTACTGAAATGTAAATCGTGTTATTATTAAGCCCTGTTGCTCTTTATAATGATTGATTTCTTCTTTTAGGACTTGGATCCTTCTTTATTTTCCTCGGATTTCATTCATTAAATCCAAGCCTTAATTTCTTAGAAAAGGAAAAAGGAATTTTAATAAAAGGCTCCTCGCAATTTTATTTTATATTAAAAAATTATGAAGGATATTTCTTATTACTAAAGTTACAAAAGAAATAAAAAGTAGTCTAACATAGAATTTCACTCCAAACTCAAATACAAGTGTGACTTTTTTTTTTTGAATTGTTATTAGCGCTCCAAAAATCTCATTCTGCACTCCAAACTTTCTATATTATGAAAAAAAAATACACTTGTGAGGAATGTAGAATGAAATTTTTTGAATGCTATGAGAAAGTTGTGTAAAAGCTTTTTGATAAATGAAAAAATATACGTGTGAAGCTTTCCATTAATATTCTAAAAGAAGAAGTCAAGCTTCTTTGTTGATCTCCCTAGACATTTCATAATCATAATTGTATATTCATTTTAGAGTACCATTGTAATAAAGAAAGTTGTGTAAAAGCTTTTTGATAAATAAAAAAATATATGTAAGAAACTTTCTATTCATATTCTAAAAGAAGAAATCAAGCTTCTTTGTTGATCTCCTTAGACATTTCATAATCATAATTATATATTCAACATAGACATTTCATAATCATAATTTTTCAATTTCTTAATCTGCATTTAAAGATCATGCTTACAAGAAAAGTCATTCGGATCAAAGATCATAATTTTATATCTATATATATAGGGTAATGCTAAAAAGACTAAATTTAGAAACTAAATTTACAAACTAAATGATGTGTCATCAATAGGAATAAGCACGTTTAGCAACGTTTAAGTAATAAATCAATCATCAACTTTCATTGCTCTTAGTTTCCAAAATTTTATCTACAAATTTAATCTCTCTAAAATTACCCTGTTAATATATGTTGGATGTGAATTACAATAACTCTCAGTACATTACTTGGTAATCGGATCTTTTATAAGGATCCCTCGTCTCCTCTATATAGACCTTTAGGCTTGGTTTGGTACTGAGGTGATTCTGAAAAAAGCTGGTATCAAAAAAAGCTGGGAGCTATTTTTGTGTTTGGTAAACATTCAGCTTCAGCTTTTTTTCACAGTTTTGGGTGAAAAAAAGCCAAAAACAAGAAGCTGCAAAACCCAGCTTTGAAAAACTGGCTTTTTTTCACATCTGTTTTACATAAAAATTTACTAAACACTATAATACTGCTTTTTTTTTTTTCAAAAGCACTTTTACAAAAAAGTTTACCAAACACTCTGCTGCTTTATTTCACAGCTGCTTATTCTCACAGCACAGCAGAAGCAGCTTTTTTTCAAAGCACAGCAATACCAAACCAGCCCTTAGTCAGCCTAAAAGTTTTGGGTCTTTAAGTTTCTTTCCACCCAACAGTAAATGGATTATACACGTAGCAGGGTCTGTAGGCTATTTCTCCACACTGTCTGACTGACATATGGAGCAGGAGTGACATATGCACAGGACTACTTGGTTTCCCGAGTCAACACCCTACGAGCGCACCGCTTTTGCGAGCTTCATATCCATGTTTTGTGCTTGTTTATTTTGTTCGTTTCCTCAGTAGACTTAACAGAAATCACTTAAATCGATCGATTAATATCTGTTGCTACCAACGCGTAACCTGAAGAAAATATGATTTGTGATCAACAGGGCACGAATACCTAAAAAAAGGACCCATGCGTTACCAGGTCTTTTAGCTTGTGTCTTGACCTCGTTTTATATGTTAATTATTGCATCATTTTACTCGAGTTTTTGAAAATAAAATTGATATTCTCCGGATGTGACGGTCGAAAGTGCTATTTAGCAAATGTATATGCTGACATGGAGTGGGTTCATGCAGAGAACAAAACGATACCTTTGCAAATTGCAAGGCCAAGTTGAGCTTGAATTGATCCAACATTTCCCGGATGGCCTTCGCCGGGACATTAAGCGATACCTTTGCCTAGATCTTGTGAAGAAGGTAATCTTGTTAACTGTCATACCAGGTTTTTATCTTGACGGATTTATACATATAATTTGATTTTTTTTTCATTTATAAAATCAATGTATTTAATCTTTTCTAATTCTAACATTACACGCACTATATATTAATGGAAATTTTAATAAAAAACTCCTGATATTGTTTATTTTAACAAAAAACCATATTTTTACACTAAAAAATCAATCATGGTAGTATTAACTTTATCCTTTATTTTATCTTTATCGTTAAATCTCAAAATTTTCAAGCTCTTTTCATTAATTTTCGTTATACCAATAGCTACAATATAATACCCTCTATTTTCCTTTTTATTACTTATAGGTACCATTATTCCACAAGCTAGATGATGTTATTCTGGACAACATTTTTGCCCTTGTCCGGCCGACGGTCTACTCCATGGGTGAAAAGGTTCGAAATTACAGTTCCAAACAGCCATGGTACGATTCCGAAACGTCAGGAACAACTGATTCTCATACAGAAATATGAAGGCCGATGGTGTCATGAATTGGGTTCTGCTTACCTCTGTCATCTCAAAATTGCGGACCTACAGATAATAGCAGAGTCAGACGTACAAATCCAAATGAAAATTATAGTACTTCTGCAAGATATCAAGAAGTCCTTCACGTCAAGAATTGAAGGTTCTCATTTTCTTGCTTTACAAGAAGCATTTCGTTGAACCGTTCAATGAAATCCACCTTCTTATTCCGATGAAGGAGATGGTTAAAGGATTTGAGGACAGTACCATCCTCTATAGACAGAATCTTAAGTAGAACATGGCTACTAGCTTTAGTAAAATTCAACAGCATGATCCCAGGGCTATGGCAGAAACAAAAGAAAAATTGGAAATCGTAAGCAACACAAATGTCCACTAAGCAATAACAAAAGAATACCAGATACAAAACGGACACACTGTTTAAGGAGGCATGCGAACTACCTTTATCTTAATCTCTTGGACATTCTTATCCGAAATGGAGTACAACATTGTTTAGTTTTTCAGATCAAACACCATGTATATACTGATAATAAAACAGAAGCAAAAGGAAGGTTAATCAAATCAAGAAGACAATAGTGTATTAGAAAGGTATACCAATAAACCTATCATGTGCAGAATAAGTAAGAACCTTCCCATTTACATCATCGAACTCTACAAAACCAGGCCATTTCAGTGACTCGGATTCAAAAAGAGCAAATCCAGCATCTGGTTTACCCCTTCTTATGTATCTGGATCATATAATTTGATAGTGTGTTTAGAAAGAAATAAAAGAAGATGGCATAAATTGGATAACTACACTGTTGTTTCTTTTGAATTTCATTTTTTTTTCTTTTTTCTTTTTGTGTCTGGAGGGGAGGGGGAAGGTAGAAAGATACGTACTCAATCCTTGTGCTTCTGCATTTCAAAGAACTGAAGTCGTCTGAGGCATAAACCGAAACAGTGATAAGTGAGTCATTGTTTTTATTATAAAACAAGTTTCTTATCACTTTCTCTGGTTGGTTTCTGCATAAAACAATATAAACATTACATATTCCCTTCATTGAATATTTATACGTAATAAGATTGGTGCATGCAATATAAGTTCAGAAATACAGATAATACAGCTACTACCTCGGCTAAATGCAGCACAAACACCGGATTGTGCGAGGGCAAACACAATGTCACGTGCTGCTACAATTTCAATAATTTTGGACCTCTTTCGCAGGAAAGGCAGAACCATGGCACAATGACCCTTAGGATCATGCGTATCATATTCCTCATATGCATCCAAATATCATGACAAGCAGAAATTAGGTATTGCAAGCACACATTAACACCGCATGTGGAAAAAAAAAAAATCTTTCCACACAATTCAAAATTGAAGAGAGCATGCGTACACAATAGCTTGACTGGACAATTTCAAATCTCCAATCTTGAAACTCAAAACTTTTTACTGCATCGTTGCATCTAGGCTTTATGATACAGCATGCTTTCAAATGTTGGCGTTAGTAACAAGGCATGGACTCCGAACGTATACAACCAATTTGATGGTAAGAACCTCACGAGGATAAAAGACATATTTGCTCAAACTTAACAGGAAGTATTAACGAAAACAATCACACACTCACGAACATAGAAGCATAAGCATGTTTATGTTGATTGAATTCCACTGAATGCTCCTAACACCCAGAAATAACACTACGGGGGATTTTCTGGTAGGGCACTTGACAAAGTCATTATCCATTTCTCAACAGCTAACAGAAAGATAAATCAGAATTAAACTACAAATGCAAATAATTCATAACAAAATCACCTTTTTTCAAGTTTTTGTGAGAGGATCTAGCATCCTAATAATTTAACAACAAAATCCCATTACTTAATTTTGGTTTTTGAATTAAATGGAAACCATCGAACCAAGCAGATGAAGTAAACAAGCATCAAAGGCCCAAGCTTTCCTTCGATTAAATAAATAAATTCAAAAAAATAAAATAAAATACCTGGAGGCGAATATTGTGAAACCTCTCTTGGGCATCGCTCATAGTAAAAGCACGGTCGCGCTTGGAGCTGATTTCGCGCCTCTGGAGCTTCTTAACGCTGTTGACGAACCCATCAACCCCACCAATACGAGGTCGTTTCTTCGCCACCACCCTCCTACCGTTGCAAGGCCGAGGACTCGCCGAGATTCTCCTTCCCCCTTCCATCAATTTCTCTCACAGAAAAAACCCGAATAAACTCACTTCAAACCTAGAACCAAATAGCAACACATACCTACTCCTCCAATTCCTCACTAATTACCCAATTTCTGACCTTTAGCAGCATCGCATAAACCCTAAAAACTCAGAGAAATCGAATTCGGGAGGAAAATCAAAACAGTTCTAGGGCTTTAGATGCGGAGACACCCACACAAAACCCTAATGTCAGAGACAAAACGGCGTCGTCTCCCTCTATCTCTCGCTACGCGGAGCACTCGGAGGTGGAGCTCTGTAACGGAGAAGGAGATTTTTGTTGTCGGATTGGGGATGTTGGAGTGTTTCTAGCTCCGATCCATTTTCAAAAATCTCTTTTTAGAAAAGTTTGACGACAATTACCGACGGCGGTTTTGTGGGCTTTTAAATGAATTATTGGATCAGAGAAAGCCCGTCCACATGTTTGGGCCAAAGTTGTTGCGTTTCGAATGGATTTATTATGATGCCCGACTTGTACCCCTTGGTTCTCCTTTTTTTGATTTTTTTTGGGCTTTACTTTCCTTTTGAGCGCTTCGATGAAGAAGCATATGGCAGGTAGCATATGGCAGGTGCTCCTCCAGAAATCGTTTTCTATGACTCATATGCTCCTTAGTGATTCTGTTAGAAGCATGCATGTATAAGGAGAACAACAAATTTTTATTAAAATTTCAAGTGGTTTTTTGAAGGTAATAAGTATTATATTAATTAAATAAAACGAAAAACATCATATGTTAAGAATACAATTTTATGATTACAAACGCAATAAAAAGACAATACAAACCTACCTCACACAACCATATCTAACAATACAGAAAGATAACACTCACGAGAACAAAATATTGCATCACTTTCTGATGAACTTGCAAAAGACAACACTTCTTTAGCAAAGAAGCCCTGTTATGAGTATCCTCATAGACTCAGGCCTCGTTCGGTAGCTCGGATTGTACTGACTATTTCTGTCGGATAGGAAAAATAGCCACCAGATAGTATTGACTAAATTAGTCAGGCGTTTGGTGCAGTATCGAATTAATCATCATATTATTTATACTATGTTTGGTTGCATACTCTATCGCATAAGAAAGATTTAAAAATATTATTATATTGATGAATGATGAATTTTGAACAATACTGTGAAATTACATCAAATCCAGATCTTGTTGCAACCAAACCAGCACAAGCATTGATATTATGAATTCATCAAGCTTCATTACAGATGTAATCGCTTAACCCATTTCTTCAACTGGGTTCGAATTTTCAACATACCCAATTTAGGATCTTTGCAATTTTCAACATACAGATCAAATTTTTTTTTTTTTTTCGGATCTGGAAGAAGAAAAATAAGAGGAGGGCAGAACATAGAGAGAAGAAGAAGAAAAATAGGAGGTGAAAGGCGGAACAGAGAGAAGAAGAAGGAGGACCTGGGATTCAGATGAGAGAGAAGAAGGAGAAAAAAGACGAAGAAGAAGAACCTGGGTTCATATGAGAGAAGAAGAAGGAGGAGAAAACAAAGAAAGAGAACCTAGGATTCAGATGAGAGAAGAAGAACGAGGAGAACCTGGTTGTTGGAGAGAGTGAGAGAGCCATGTTTTCAACCCGACTAAATAGTACCGCAGTTTTGGAAAGGATAGTTAAGTGGGTGTCAGGCATGTAGAATAGGTTGGCCCGGAGTATTTAGTCGGCTGACTATTTAATACATGGGACATCAAACACCTAATATCGTATAATTAATCCTATCTGGTGTGTTATACGGTGTACCAAACAAGGCCTCATAGTCCTTTGGCAGGAGAACAAACAACGAAGACACAACCAAAACAAAAAAAAGAAAAAAATGCAGTCTTCAAATGAACGATTTATCACTCACATGAGACCCATACCTAACCAACAAAAAAGAGATGCTCACAAAGTCTACACTCTCTAAGCAGGACCTAACACCATTAAGATACACAAAATAAGCATCGTACTATCATCTAAAGACTTTGCAACAACAAGGTAAATAAATTCAAAGTGATGTTTGAAGAAGAGTTATTTCTCTAGCAAGCACTCATAAATTCTTTTATAATTTTGAAGCACTTTTTTTATTTTTGATGCACGTCATAACGAACTCTTTTGATTGTTTGAAAACACATTCTTCTAAAAAAGACGTCAACAAATGCCTTTAAGTATCTTATGTAGCAATACACAGTCTAACTTATAAATACCTAAAATACATATCACGGAACATAAAAGTACCATTCTAGCAACTCATACATTGTACCTGAATTCCAAATGACACTTTCAAATTGCATGCGTTGATAGGGAAGTATGAGATTTATATAGGCCAACACGCATTAAGTATAATGTTCTTTGGTATTTTGTTTTCTCTAATTGGGACTTTGAAGTAATAAGATACCATCGTCACTTTGAGAAATTTTCAGCTTGTCAAAAATACGGTATTGTAGACTAAATGCTATAATACAAGTAGTTAAATTTTTTTTTTATATTTTAAGTATCTAAACATTTATATAATAATACTTAGGATCATATTTTTGAGAATCTTTTCACTTTGTCGTATCAAGAGATATCTCTTTCCCTCTCTTGGTGTAACCAATTATTGAACCATGCAGTCCAACAACTATTATTATATATATATACGTCTTTTCTCGTGACCTACATATAGACAGCTAGATTTCACTGTGTCATCATCAGCACCACCTGTAGACTTGTAGGTTTTTGAAACTATAGTGTTGACACATTCAACGTATCGTGATAAGCTCTATTAAAACAGATAATGAAGAACACGTCAATCTAACGATTATAACTGTGTTATTTTACTTGACAACTAAAGGCTATCATAAGCCAATAAGATTTTTAGTTCTGTGAGGTCAAGAGGGAGAGAATGTTTATTGTACGTTGTATAACTTTTATTTTGCAGAAAGGTTATTTTTATGATTCGAATCTGTGATATTTCAATTACAAAGAAGTAACTTTTAATATATATTGGATGTGAATTACATTAACTCTCAGTACATTACGTAGTAATCTGATCTTTTATAAGGATCCCTCGTCTCCTTTATATTGACCTTTAGTCAGCCTAAAAGTTTTGGGTCCTTAAGTTTCTTACCACCCAACAGTAAATGGGTTATATACACGTAGGCATGGTCTGTAGGCTACTTCTTCACTGTCTGACTAACATACGGAGAAGGAGTGACATATGCACAGGACCACTCAGTCTCCCGAGTCAACACCCCATGAGCGCACCGCTTTTGCGAGCTTCATTTCTATGTTTTGTGCTTGTTTATTTTGTTCATTTCCTCACTAGACCTAACAGAAATCACTTAAATCGAGCGATTAATCTAACAACATCCATATCCTTCCGTAGACCTTATTCTCTGTTGATACCAACGCGTAACCTGAAGAAAATATGGTTTGTGATCAACAGGACACGAATACGTACGGAAAAAAAAAGGACCCATACGTTACCAGGTCTTCTATCTTGCGTCTGGACCTTGTTTTATATGTTAATTATTGCATCATTTTACTCGAGTTTTGAAAATAAAATTAATATTCTCTGGATTTACTCCACTAATTGTTCTATCACTATGTCATCAATCTTATTTCCGGATTATTGTTTATATATGCATGTTACTGTCGAAACAAATGTATATGCTGACATGGAGTGGGTTCATGCAGAGAACAAAACGATTCACGTTTCTCATCTGCATAAACGCTGACATGGACAGGGTGCATGCAAACACTTAGACCGCCGCGGGTCCCACCACCAGTTCAGTGTGAGACTAACACCCGGACACAACCGCTACCACTACTATAAGGGTTACATGTGACATAAACTTAGGACACGAAAATAGGGCTTCTATAACCTGATATTTAGGTGATTTATGTGAAAAAGAGTCATATTTGTAGCTGAAATTAAGGTAGGAAAAGATAAGATAAGGTTGGATAAGATTTGGATAAGATAAGGTAATTTGAATAATATTCCTTCTTTGTAGCTGATTCCTTATCTTCCAAGTTTTCAATTTAATTCTTCCAGATGTTAATCACATTCCTAGCCTCTCTTGATCTTCAAATTCGTCCATCCACCTTGCTCCATGCATATGAAATCCATTACAAGCTCAAAACTGCTCCAAATAGCACCAAATTGCACTTTCTTGTCAACTTTGTCATTTAAACCTACAAACACACGAAAATAACTTAAAACACTATAATAAATAGAAACTAACTTACTAAATACAAAGAAACAAGCAAACAAAGTCGCATAAATACGCTATATCAACCTGCTCCCCATCACCACTTCGCCACCTTCCATCGCTACGTGCCCACATTTTACAAACCCCCCAAAATATTACCAACATCGTCCCCTTCTTTTCATTAATTCCAACCCACATGTTATTCCACAAAAGTAAACATACTCCTCCACCCTCCTCCTCCTGATCCTCCTCCCATCATGTCCTCGCCCTCAAGGTTACCGCCACATCAATCACAATGTTGCTGGTCAGTCCCTTGTTACGTACTTACAATTATCATGTATATGGGTTTTGTCTGGCTAACTCATTGCATTTCGATTCAACTTTGATTTTCAGGTGGAACATCAACCCCAACAACAACACTAATGGCGGCATTACGGAGGCCTACGACAACGACGACGCAATCTTCAACTCAAAAGAATGCTACGCTTGCACTCAGGTCGGTGTCCCCGTCTTCCACTCCACCCGCTGCGACCCGATCCACCAGCCCCACCTCCAGTGGGAGCGCTCTGCCGGGTCCTCCATGACCCGAGTCCACACCCCCACAACCCTCAACTGCGGCCCCCACGACCTGACCGGGACGCATGCCATTGACCCACGTAGCCAAAACGTCAAAAGGTGGAACCGCGCAGTCCTCATGGCACGGGGCATGTCGGTGGCCGTAGATCCGCTCTTCTTTTACGTCATCGCGCTGAGCCAGCGCGGTGGGCCCTGTTTTTACATGGACGTGGCGCTGGCGCTCTTTGTGACTCTGGTGAGGACGTGTTTGGATGCGTTGCACCTGGCCCACATCTTGCTTCAGTTTAAGCTGGCTTACGTGTCGAGTGAGTCGATGGTTATTGGCTGCGGGAAGCTCGTGTGGGACTCAGGTGAGATTGCGTGTCACTATATGCGGTCCCTCAAGGGGTTTTGGCTCGATGCTTTTGTCATTCTTCCAATTCCTCAGGTACCCCCCTGCAAATTGCATTGCATTCAATTTAATCCTTTTTCTTTGTGAGACCAAATATTAAATATCAAGCTTGATAATAGAGAAATGTAGCCACATTTGTGTAGTAACTTTTGTATTTGAACTTTTTTTCACTCTCTCTCATATGAAACGTGTCATTTTTTTTATAAAAAAAAAAAGACGTTTAAGTCCATCTCCAAAGGAGATGTCAAATCTTAAGTGGAATTCCATGTAATCAAATTTGAAGGTAGAAGTGAGCTCCAACCGTGGATTGACATATAAGAAAAGGTGATGTCAATTTTTTTTTAATTATTTTATTATGTGAGTCCTATTAATGCACAAATTATAGATCTTGAAATATATATTTTAATTGATTTCTTTTTAAAATGAATCCTACAAATATCATTTATAATAAAGAAACATATCGGTTGGAAAAAAAAAAGAAAATCTGACATTGTCACATCAGCCATAAAATTAACATTTGACATTTATCTTTTGACATCTCTTTTGGAGATGCTCTAATGCCTTAACATATTTTCTAAATATTTCCTATATTTAGAAAATATAATTTCTAAGTGAGTGCTATTCCCGTTCTCCTATTGACTCTACCGATAGCTTTAAATTGTTTTGAGACTCTTGTACTTTGATATTTAGGCTTTTGCTAAAGCACTAAATTTGACACTCAAATCTCACATTATCTTTGCAGGCTGTAATTTGGTTAATTGTGCCAAAACTGTTTATACAAGAACAGACAAGACTAATCATGACGACCCTTTTGCTAACCTTCTCGTTTCAGTTCATCCCCAAGCTCTACCACTGTGTTTACTTGGCCAAAAGACTCAAAAGGGTCACAGGTTACATATTTGCCTATGGCAACATTTGGTGGCGTTTTAAACTTAACTTCATTGCCTACTTAACTGCCGCTCATGTGCGTAAGCATACTTTGATTTATCATCATCGGAATCTCTTAGTTTCGTAAACTAATTCCAATATTTAAGCTATGTTGGTTCACATTAATCAGATTGTTGGAGGGTGTTGGTATGTCCTTGCAACACAACGTGTAATGTCGTGCTTCCAACAACAGTGTGACAGAAGTATAAACTGCAATCTCTCTATCTATTGCTCCAAGGAAATATTTTCCAATGGAAAGTTTTCTGGTGGTAATGCATTCACAAAGATAAAGACATTGTGCTTGGATAAAGACACACCATTCAAGTATGGTATTTACCAGCCGCTACTTGATGTCTACGCCGGCAATACACTTGCTGTGAGGATCCTTTATCCCATATACTGGGGTTTAATTAATCTCGGGTAAGCTTCTAATGTACTATTGAATACTGATGGCACACAGTAGCAATGGCGTGAATAATGTTTATACAAGTTCACCTATCTGTTCCATCTCAACTGACTATATTTTCCTGGCTATATTTTTTAGATTGCACAATCCAATTTAAACCATATTGTTAAATGGTAGTACGATATCAACAAACTTACATTACTTTCAAGTTGTGCTAATTAACATTTGCAGCTCCTTTGCCAACAACCTTACTCCGACAAGTGACTGGCGAGAACTGATATTCTCTTGCTTGTTGACACTAACGGGCTTGGGGCTCTTTATTACATTAATTGGAAATATCCAGGTGATCATTGAAAGTTGAAACTTCTGATCATAGTTGAATACATTTATTCTTAACTCGAGGGGTTTTTATATAAGTGAGTACTTAATGTATAGATCGATCAAGAACTTGATTTGTAATTGTGCAGATATTTCTGCACATGGTGATGGCAAATAAGAAAAAAATGCAGCTGAAATATCGAGACATGGAATGGTGGATGCAACGAAGGCAGTTGCCATCTCATTTGAGAAAGAGAGCTCGCTATTTCCAGCGCCACAGTTGGGCTGCCATGCAAGGCCAAGATGAGCTTGAATTGATCCAACATTTCCCGGATGGCCTTCGCCGGGACATTAAGCGATACCTTTGCCTAGATCTTGTGAAGAAGGTAATCTTGTTAACGGTCACACCAGGTTTTTATGTTGACAGAATTATACATATAAGTTGATTTTTTTTCATTTATAAAATCAATATATTTAATCTTTTCTAATTCTGACATTACACGCACAGTTTGTCTAATATTTACACATATCAATACCTACAATATAATACCGTGTATTCTCCTTTTTATTACTTATAGGTACCATTATTCCACAAGCTAGATGATGTTATTCTGGACAACATATGTGACCTTGTCCGGCCAACGGTCTACTCCAAGGGTGAAAAGGTTAGAAATTACAGTTGTATGTTTTTTTTCTAGCCGTGCTGACTAGAGTTGTTGGCATACAAGTGAGTGACTATCAGTTGTTGCATTGCATGACTTGCATCAACGATTGACCGCTATATATACTCACTCATGTTCTTATACTTCCTATGACCACCCTTAGCATTTCTCTGTTTTATTTAGTAACGCTTTGAATGTGGTCATTTGTTATTGGCAATTAATATGCTTATTCAAATTATGTTACTTTTGCCATGAAATTAATATATAGGTAATTAGAGAAGGGGACCCAGTACAAAGAATGATGTTCATAGTTCATGGACGAATAAAACGTAGCCAAGGCCTGAGCAAAGGGTTCCTAGCCACCAGTGTACTCGAACCGGGCAGTTTCTTTGGTGATGAACTTCTCTCATGGTGCCTTCGCCGCCCATTTCTCGGCCGCCTTCCTCCCTCCTCGGCAACCTTTACTTGCCTGGAACCTATGGAAGCATTTGGTTTAGATGCAGATTGTCTCCACTACATCACCGACCATTTTCGTTACAAGTTTTTGAACGAAGAACTCAGGTGGACAGCGAGGTTTTACTCATCGAATTGGAGAACATGGGCGGCGGTGATCATTCAACTTGCTTGGCGCCGGCATAGAATGAGGACGAAGGGTCTGGTGGTGGTGCAAAATGGGGACATTGAGAATCGGTTGAGGCATTACGCTGCCTTCTTTTTGTCATTGAAGCCGCATGACCATCTTGAGTAGTAGTTTGTCGGTGTGTTGATAAAATAAGTTGCGCAACTTGCGACGTTTGAAGTTTATCAACAAAATAAAGTGAGAGCAGTGTTTCTTTGGAATTTGGCTTTCAATTATTCGCAATGAGAGTGACAAAAAGGCCTAATGGCCAAATACACTATCCGAAATGGAAAAGTTTTTGCTCTTAAGAACAACTCAAGCCCATCCCAGACGTGCTTGAGATCAATTTGAATAATTCAATGAAAAAATTAAATTTCTTAACATTCATTTGAGGATCATCATTTAAAAAAAAAAAATTATTCGAATATAAATTCAAATGTATTAAATAAATAAACACCGTCCATTTGTTCGATACATTTAAATTCAAAAATAGAATCTTCAATTTAAATGATTTTTTATGACGATGATATACAAATAAAGATATGAAAATTGAACGATTTTAAATTATTAAAATTATGCAGTGCAGAAGCGCTATATGTAGAAAATAGAAATGCAAGCATTATTTAAAAAGAGTGAAAAATCTCAAATTTAAACCTTGAAAATATTGTATTTTTTACATCTTAAATTTACATATCTCTATGATTTTCTGCGGATCAATAAAAGAAAAGTTTAAGAATAATACATGCATCTCCCAAGATAGGACTGCACATATTCCACTGTTTGTGAATAACGTATCTTCGTAATATAAATCTCATAATCGGAACCATTCAATTTCTTAATCTCACTTGAAGATCATTCCTACAAAAAAATCATGGGACTCGGAAATCATTTATGCATCCAAATATATAGAATAATTTGATTGTGCGAGTGTCAAGTAACTTATTCATAATGAACCGTCCATTTATTTGATACATATGGATGATTAAACAATCGTCGATTTAAATGATTTTATTTTGGGATAATTGATAGGGGAATTATTTTCTATATTTTCATGTCAATAATCTCTAAATTTTGTCAAGGAATTGGTTTTTAAAAGAGCCTTACTACTTTTCTTTCTACATTTCAGTCAAGCTGGGCAGTAAGAACTTTTTTTGTGATGAATCGACTTTACGTGGTATTTTTTATGCAATGTTAATTGGAGAAGGAAGCTAAGAGGTTGAAGATGTTGTGTCCAAATCTCCTATTTTTCTATGAAGCCAAACATTCCAGTTTTGCAAGTTAATTCCGTGGAAGTTGCATTTTCCTTCTGAACTATGTATGTATAATGAAGATTCAGAGTCTTTTAGATTTTTCCTAGTACCGTGTGATATATGCTTTAGAAAGATAAGACATAGAGCTACAAATTTTATACTTTTTTAGAATTTTACAAATGCTGAATTAACCCCAAATCTGGTGTGCAAGACAGATGATGATTTCGCAAATCAAGAATAATTCTTTTCCTAATTTGTGTAATTAATTGTTTAGGAATTTGTTTGTTATCGAAGAATTTCTACCATACTTTATGGGCGTTTTCAATATAAATAGAGCGTTCTAAGCTCTTTCTCCCCATACCATATTGTTATGTCACCATCACCATCTACACAATTCGCAAAGAGCTTAAGGACATGCATTCTCATGGATTTCGGATCCTATCTTTCTTTTATTTTTGTTTTTACGTGTAACTAATTTATTTCCTAAGGTCTATGATGAAGCCAAGTCGTGAATAGGCAAAGTATTTGTTAATTGTTATATGATTATATGTCATGCTATATTCATCATCTATGTGCTTATTTTATTTTAAGTTTGGATTTCCGATGACTTTTTCATCTAGATACTTGAATAAACCTACAAGGACGACCAATACCAGGTTAGTTTTGGCTGACATGATTCCTTTATGCTTAATGATTGTATGCCAGACCGTGGATATAATTCTTGTAGAGATACACGAATTGACCACTACTAATTCATACCTTTGAAAGAAGGGCCAAATAGTAGTTGACTCTTAAAAAAAGTAAAAAGAATTATTTCGGTGGACTCATAACCTAGGACTTCATTGTTTCTCAAATTATTCTTGGCATGTGTTATTTTATTCACTTGTCTTTATGATTTTATTGTTAATTTTAATCTAATCAATCCTTCAATTCAATCTGTCATTTCTTGTTAAAGCAATCCATATGGAACCGGCCTCATACTTGCATATCTTACACAATTAATTCGTGTGTTAAGTTTGATTTAATATAGTTTGAACTGATATATATTTTTTAGTTAGTTTAATACATGTGTTGGTTCAATGATTTTCTGCATATCACCGATTGAAAAGTTAATGAATAATACTTTGCACGTCACCCATGAGTGATGCACATATTTCGAACAAAATGTACATATTTAACCATTTGCGATTAACATATCAATGTACATATTTCACTATTTGCAAATGACGTATCTTCATATTATAAGATCTATAATTAGAACAGTTCAATAACTTTAATTTCATGATATTCTTTTGAAAATCAGCCCTAAACAAAAATTTAAATCAGCGTTTGTTTATGCATCCAAATGTATAAAACAAATTGGTTGTATGACTGTCAAAGAAGAAATTGACTGTGTGAGTGTCAAATAACATATTCAAAACAAATCGTAAATTTATTTGATATAGATACTCAATAGCCTCCCATTTGAATTACTTTTTGTATGATGATCCCCTAAAGAAGATTAAGAAATAATAATTAAAAATTTTCTGATTATAAGATTTGTAAAGCAAAAATACAATATTCACAAGTTGTAAAATATGAGTCAAAGTTCAAAGGACCTAACTGAAAACCCCCAAAAAAATTTGGGGAGGAGGGATCTTAAGTTGGATAAATAAATAAAAATGGACAAAATTAAAAGGTGTGTTTTTTCGGGTAATGCTAAAAGACTAAATTCAAAATTTTCAAATTAAATGATGTGTTACTGATAGAAATGAGTACATTTATCACCACTTCTGTATAATTCAATCATCAATTTATATATCATTCAATTACAAAATTTTATCTATAAATTTCAGTCTTCCTGGCATTATTAGTTTTCAAAAGACTTAAATCGATTCACTAAACAACAAAAGAAAACTGGTCTTTCAAGTTGAATCTATCTATGACATTATGAAGGAAGCATATACTCGGGGGGTGGGTGCAGGGCGGACGATTTCAAAGCAGACTCCCCATTCATTAGATAGAGAAGATCACCAAGATTTCGTGATCCGCAACCCAAGTGAAAATCCCCTAATAATTTTAGTGGATGAAGCTTAGGCCATCTCCATTGGGCTAAAATCTAGCCTGCTCCAAAACTTAACTCTAATAGAAGGCTGAGAAAACAATTTTTTTTTTTTTAAAAAAAAGGCCAAATTACAGCCCTTTGACCATCGGGCTCGCCATTCTTAGCCAACCAGGTAGCCCGTTTGAAAGGGCCACATTTATTTTAGGCCGAAATTTAAAAAAAAAAAATTAAAACATCTAAATTTTTTTCCTATAAATATCTAAACCATTTCTCACATCCTTTTCATTTTTTGTTGCTAACCTCACGTCCTTTTAATAAAGGATACTACCTTACCTCTTTCAATTGTCTAAATATAAATTTTTTAATATTTTTTCAAATAGCCACATCATAAAAAATCCAGGAACTTAATCATTTAATGACAAATAACACTCGAAATATATCAAAAACCTTATTTAATATGATAATTTAATTCAACTAACCTATAAAATTAAATAACAAACTTAAAATAATAATAAAGAACAAACTTAAAATAATAAATTATTAAAGAAACTAAAAAATAACTCATTTAGTTAATGATGGTATATAAATATGATCGGACACTTTTTTTATAAATAATTTCTATGGGAATCTATTTCGTAACGCTCCCTCGCTCAGAGGGTGCCATGCACGGTGACACGTACTCCATGAAGCCACGTAATTAGTACGCGTATTATCATCGTCGTCACCCAATCGAATCAAATATAATCAATAATCCCGCAAAATTCACAAGAAAAATATAGTAAAAATACACTTATCAAACAAGGTCTCAGCTCCAAAATATTCAACCCATTACAAGAGAAAAGACCCAGATAGAAAAACATACACTTAATTAACAAAATAAACACAGACAGAAACCCAACTCTCGTACGACTAAAACACATGAAATTACAGACTCCAATGTTTATTATTATTGTAGCCGTACGATCTCCTTAAAACTCCATGACCACCGGATCTAACAACAGGGACACACACATATATATGTATTTGGTGGTACACAGTTTAAGAAGTCTGCTGTTGACCGTACTGCTCAACCCTGTCCCTTATCTCCCTCGCCTTCCCAGCCAGCTTGTAACGAGCCGAGTCTAGCTGGTCCACGTCAGGTGGGTGCTTCCCGGTCACGTACCGGTAGATCCACGACAACACCGTCACCGCCGCCACACTAAACCCGCCGGAGGTCAAGAACCCCATTGTTATGAGGGACAGGGTGATCACTGCCGGGACAAGAACCGGACTGAATATGACAAGCAGGGGGGTGGCTATGGTCAAAGCTATGACCGTGCCGGCAAGGACCAGCCCAGAGAGCACCAAAAGGGACCCACCCGCGGTCACAGCGGTGGCCGCCTTGGCGACTTGGTAGGACTTCTGGTGCTGCTGCTGCATGCCTTGTTGGCCAGCTTGGAAACGATGGGATTGCTGGTATTGCTGGTGGCCTTGTGTATCAGCCATTTTTTCCCCGAGGTGGGTGGATTGAGATAATATTTGGGTTTGAATATCAGAATGTGTTTGGGGAGAGATTACTGGATTGAAGAAATATAATTAATGGTGTGAAATGTTGTGGGATGGGAGGGGGTTTATATAAGAATGGTGGTGTGAATAGCGGTGGCACGTGTTATGGAAGTAGGGCACGCGTTGAGGAGCTTCTCATGCAGGGCTTGCATGCATTGCGACACGTCGTTTGTCTTTATATGAGTGATCTGTTGAGCTACAGAGAAGAAGGGTGTGGAACTGGAGAGTTCGAGGAAATCAGATAAGTTCGATCGTCGATATATTATTTCAATTTGGGCTTAGCCCAAATTTATTTTCGGTTTAATTAATCACAGCCCAAGTCAACCCAAATTGTCTATTGGATTGGACTGATGATTACCTATTATTTTGTTTTAGCCCAAGCCGAGCCCAATCTATTGGACCGAACTGATCAGTACCCATAGTTTCAGCCCAATTAAATGAGGATGATGATCATCATCAGTCCACTAATCACTAAATGAGGAAAATTTTTTTGATATTTTGACAAACTCGGAATTTGCAAGTTATTTCCTTACTTTGATTTATAAACATAGAAATGCAGAATTTTTTTGTGGAAAAAAAAAAAAAAAAACTTGAAATTTGAGACCTTCAATTTCCAAGTCCAAATTTTATGTGAATAGATGTTATTTCTCAATTTCTATAAGTGAGAGTGTAATGATAAAAAAAAATTTGTACTCAAATTTTATTTTTCTTTTAGGTTAACCAAATAAGAAAATTAAAAAATTATAAAAAATAAAATTCCCTCATTTTAAAATTTCTTAATAATCTTAAAATTTATCATCCAAACAAAGTGTAATGGTAAGCTTGGTTAGTTTAGTTAATTTCCAGGAGGTTTTAAATTTTGAATTTTTTTTCTTTTAGCGACAAATTTTAAAATTTAATTTTGAAGTTTTGAAATTGCATCGACTAAAAGTTTTGAGTTTCTATTTGAACATCACATCCTATCTGAGCTTACACACTTTTCTATTTGCACTCCATTTGTAACTTTGAATTCTCATTAGGCGAGCTCGAATCATGACAGGATAAACCAAGTCCTGGGAACAATTTTAGCCATTAAAAAAAATATAATTTATTAAGAAATAGTTGAGTGCTAAATTTTTTATTCTCCAGTCATGAGGCCTAATATATTAACCCCTCTGTATCTTTATTACTTTTTCAAGTTTTAAAAGACCCTGGACTGGATACTAGTCAATTAAAATATCAACTGTTTCTACGGCGCTAATATTCACAACAAGTACCCATTTGCTAGACGCTAATATGTTAGGTCCCGTGCCCGCCGCCTGATTAGCTTTTACTCTTTTTTTCTTCCACATTTTAAACTTTTATAGCCAAAAATATCACATTCATAGCATGTACCCACTTGCTAATACGTTGTAGAAAACATTAAATACAATTAATTGTAATAATACGACTAAAAGGACCTCTTTTGTCAAGAAACAAACGCAAGGCAAAGAAACCAACGCCTTTCAATTTCTATCATTTGATTGCTTTCTGTAATATTTATACGCAATTAAAAGTATCTTTAAAAGGGATGTCGTATATAATTTGTCAAAGTTTTATTTTGATTGATGTGACCAATTGAATATATATGTTAAATCTTCTTCATTTCCGATGGATATGTCAACTATTTATTTTATTAATATATTGAGCTCCACAGCAACATTATCTACTAAAAATAATTAAAATTGATTTTAGTTTTCATCCTATTGGCTTTCAGTGGGACACATGCATTAAAAGAAACTTAAATCAAAGGCATTTGACTCTATCTTTATTTGCCGTTAAAAAAAAGATAGTTAAAAAGTAAGGAGTCAAATAATTCAGCTGCCATGTCATATGTGACATATTCCTTAGAAAATACGTTAATGTCTTTTAGTCCTATTTAGCACGAGATGGTCCAATAATTTCACCTATATATGCTGTTTCGTTTGGAGTATGACTCTCTCTCTCATCTTATTCTCCTGCTCTCCTTTACTTTCTATTTTGTCTCCTTCTTTAAAAAAATTAATATAAGATATTAACGTTATTTAATTGTGACTATTCAAATAGAAGAAAAAAAAAATCTACTCCGATTCGTTTATCTTTTTTCGAAGCCGTTTGAGTTGGAGGCATGTGGGTGGAGTCCACCCGCTCCGTACCAAGATCAGCTCTGGCAATGTGGGAAAAGGCTTCTTTTCCTGGGGATTTGAGAATCCCTTGATCGTATATGTTTATCGTACATTGTGTGATTATAAATTATTTAAAATTTAAAATTTAAAAATCAAATATAAATAGTACTTAACGAAAACTAACCGCACAATGTACGATAAACAGACACGATATGTTGCATCAACTTTTTTTAAGGCGACACGTGATGGGCTCCACAAAAAGAAGATGGATTGTCTGCCCTCCCATTTCCATACTCTTCCTATGCCCTCTTGTAATGTCTGGTTACGATTAAGCCACGTCAACATTTTATATTAATTTTTTTTATAGAAATAATAAAATAAAAAATAGTAAGAATATAAAATATTAATGTGGCTTAACCGTGATCACACAAACAAAATGATACGAAAAAAGTATGAAAATAGGAAGGCAGATGGTCCACACCCACCAACACCTAAAACGTGTACCATTGTCGGGGCAGTCTCTTTTTACGGGTACTATTGTCGTCAGAATGCCCACGGATGGCCGAAACATGACGCAACACCTAAACCCTAAGCCAAAGGCACTTAAAACGTGCTCTAGTGGACATGGTCAAAAAAATGCCAAGAGTGGACAGGGTCACCAGAAACAATTTAATAATAATAATAAAGTTTTGAAACTCATGCGTCTCACGCGTCCCGTGTTCGAAAATTGATCTGTGTGCAGAGGCGGGTGCATCTGAGACTAGGTGGTTCTGAGACCATTTGGAGTTTTGAAAACATACATATAATGGCCTTCTGAGGATCCTTCAAATGTTTTATATGGGTTCCTTGATACTTACTAAGTATTTAATATAATACCTACTATGCATATCTCGACAGGTTAAATAGACAACACTCGATAAATTCTCTTAATATCATTTATTAAGTGTTCGACGAAATATCTCACTGAATAAACTAATTTTTTTTTGCACGCGCGCTCAATTTTTATATAAAAAACTTGGACCCTTTACACTAGGATCACTCTATATTCGAATACTAGATATGTCACTGTCATGGTGAGGTTTGGTTCTTAGTATAGGTTAGAATTTGTGGTGGGTGGTAGAACGATTAGTTTACAATTTAGTCCAGTAAAAACATTTTGATAAATAATTTAGGTTATTTAGTAGTGAAGTTTAAAAAGAAAATTTAAACTGTTTTGCCCATAATAATGTTAAGTTTGTTGTTAAATTGTTGACGTATTACTATGAACTTAATCCATGATACTTATGTTGATGTAGCGAAAAAAGCAGAATATACAACTAGTTGCATGGTAAATTGGCTGGAATACTCAGCGCACGACAACAAATCACATACAGATTAGTACGAATAATCAATTTAGCAGTAGACCTAATAGTCAATCAAACATAATAATTAAGTAGTAAACCACCTCCTGTCTTCTAATTTATAAAAGGTAGTTATCGATGGTTTTGAGTGGAAACTCTCGGTAGAAAGCTTTTGTCGAGGGCCTTGACTTCTCTGCTTCTTAATGAACACTTTGGAAGAACTTAACCACCACGAAGGATTTCAATTCCATGATGTATCATAACGATAGGAAAGGTGAAGGCTTAAAGCTGTTTTAACTTTTCGATCTAGTCTTTTTCTTCCTTTCTTATTTGCATTTGATTCCTTTCACTAGAGAAAGTTCAGCAAAAGAAACTTCCTTTAGTTTGATGAGTGTTTTGTATTCGTTTTAAGAGAGTTTTTAGTTTGCTTTTAGTATGGATATGTCACTTAGTGCTGTTATTAGTGTTTTAACTTTTTGATCTAGTCTTTTTCTTCCTTTCTTATTTGCATTTGATTCCTTTCACTAGAAAAAGTTCAGCAAAAGAAACTTCCTTTAGTTTGATGAGCGTTTTGTATTCGTTTTAAGAGAGTTTTTAGTATGCTTTTAGTATGGATTTGTCACTTAGTGCTGTTATTAGTGTTTTAACGGGATTATTGACAATATTTGACGCTAGAAGGTAGTTAATATGAGACATGATTTAAGTTCCAAGATGTTAAGTGAGGAAATTTGAATTTTAATGGGCAGATGTGAATGTAAATTCAACATCAGAGGGGTGTTGCCGTAAATAAGCTTAATCAATTTATATTGGTGGCCAGAATAAGTGTAGTTTGGTGGTTGAATAGGGATTTTTCCATGCGTTGTTTCTTGTGTGATTATCTCCAAATTATTTTAATTTTGCCATCGAACTTTTTACATATGTAAAGTTGGAGTTGGTTCTACGTTAAGGTTTTCCCCGTATTTAGTATCATTTGTTCTATACTAATGTCTCTCCTCGGTGATGAAGTATTGTATGTTTTTTCATGTTGCATTGCTTGAATATTGTAATTCTTTTTTAAATCAATATTACCTCTCTTCTTTTCAAAAGTTAGTGTTTTCCTATCTATATCAGTTAGGCTTAGAACCACAATGACTAGTGAATATATTTCGTCAAAAAGTCCTTGATCTACGTGGAGTTTGCATGCATTAGTCAGTTACCTCAGTCGAATGGACCAAATGCAACTAAAATTAGCCCACACAGTTTGAACAACACAATTAAGTCGTGTTAATTTGTAATGATGGCAAACTGGAAATCGGCTTCTTTGGTTTGTGTGGACGAGAAATCGAAGTCGTTAAAATGAATCAACTTAATAAGTTAATAAAATTGTCGAATTCAATTTAAATGATCCTAATTATCTAGTCCTTAAATATCAGACAGTGAAATCCGAAGTAGAATCACCAACCCCCACTAATTGTCTGACTCGGATGGAAAATTGGAGACCGAGACCGCTGTAAGCTGATCCAAACCTAACAATGCATGGACATGTGTTGCATGC